CTGAAAAGCCCCAGATATGGCTTCAGCATGGCGAGAAGGTTTCGTAAATCTGGAAATCGGGAATGCGAATTGGGGGACACTGCCTTTGACGCAGGATGGAAGCAGGTGGAAAAGTCTCAGCCGTGAATTAACGCTCTTAGCTTCAGAAGCGATTTTTTGGTTTTGATCTCAAGCCACGTTCGGCCGATGGCGATGCCAAGGCGATTAGCGGAATCGAGAAGAGCGCTTCAAAAACTGGGAGAGTGCCCTGTGGGGAAGGGCCCTCCTAGTGCATTAGAGCCCTTTTCCCCCGGCCGTTTTCGCGATCTCCAGTGTGTTTCGCATTCAGCATAACGAGTAGACTCCGGCAAGCACAAAACCTCAAAATCAATTTTTTGCCCGGACAACACTGCCTTTGATATGCGGGGTTGTTCTATCTAATCTAATTTCAACTAGTCGGGCTCGTTGCAAATAATTATGCAATGCAACAAAGGGGAATGTAAGATTTTCAACCCCCATGGTATTTTGGCGCGCTCTCGCGCTCGGATTCGAAAATCTGTCCTATAGCCAGTCATATGTTTTAGCCCGCTGTGGAGAATATTAAGATTTAACTAATGAACTTACAAACATCTGAAAGACTTGATTAATGTATGGACTCGAAATTGGTATCCGGAACGTTCTAGTGATGTTGTAAATACTTCCGGGTCTTTTATTTGCATCGTACGTCAATGAATACTATGATAATTCATCGTATGCTTAAGATTTTGCACATGAAATCGTCGTCACGTCCAACAAGCATGTGTATGACGCCTCGACAAGATCCACTGACTTTTGAGGTAAGATTTTTCACTGGAATTGGTTCATTACATTCTCATTTTGTCAATTTGCAAGCCAGATATGGCTTGTGCAGATAAGCTTTTTCTTGCAAGGTATTGAAAGCTGGCAGATTTGGTGAACACACTAGGTGCTAAGCTTTAAAAAAAATTGCGGATTCGACTTCAGGTTCTTCCCCAAGAAGGCTTGAAAAATGAAAGTGTGGAGTTTATACTAGGAATGCCATTGAATCAGGTTCGTATTTGCTCTGTTAGATGTAAAGGGCTCGATCTCATGGTTACTCTTCAGGTGCTAACACTTATACAACATAATGCTAGGATTTTATCGAACATCGAGTTGATGTATTCCAGAAAGGTGAGATCATCAGTAGTTTATTCTCACACTATTTTGCATCTGTGTCTCGGATTTTCTACAAGCTTTTTTTGGCTTTTTTTTTTCAAATTAAGCATCGCGTCTCATGGTTGGATTGTTGACATCCATTATTATTCAACTGATTTCCGAAATTTAGGATCCGCTCGGACGAGACATCTGCGTTTATTTGAGCAACGATGGTATTCGTTTGCTGTTTCATCCTGTCACGCAACTTTTGCGGGTGAGCAGTGTGCTTGTTTGCCTATAGGCTTCATCATATATTATAAGTTTAGCTGATCGAGGTCGACAATTTGTCTCAGATAGTGCTAAAGTATAAGTGAGTATCATTTTTCCTTATTTTCCTAGATTGCATGTTTTATAAATGTTCTTTATCGTTCGATCTGCTTATTATAATCGCTCTATCATCAATCTATCCCACGCTGCCGTAGGACCTTTAGAATGAGCTAAAAGTAATACTAGGTGTACATGCTTAGTGAAAGCCTGCTGGACTCTGATCATTTCTGTCAGGATTGTGTGCTTTTCTTTTATAATGTCAGGTTTTTTAGAGAGAAGATCTTTTCTGAACCTGGCGCTGAAGTTAGCATGGACAAAGTTGATGAATTCTTTGGTTCTACGCATCCTGGAGGTTAGTATTGTTTTTCTTTCTATTATTTTAGTCTTTCTTCTTTCATTCTTTTGTCTTCCGATTTGTCAAAGTTATTCTCTTCAAAACATTTGGCAGTGGAGGCTTTTCAAACCTCGTTTGTTTGAAAAAATAAGGTTGAATTGCTATTCTATTCAAATTATGTGGTAGCTACTCACGTAAATGCAAATCTCTATTCACGTATACGCAA